GACAATAGGATGCTAGAACATGTTTTAGAATCCCTTCTTTATAGTATAAACGATGAATGACTTTATATTATGAAGTGATTATTTATGAGAGGCGTAACTATTTGTGTGTACCTAGTGCCTGGGGCGAGGATCTGGTGTTGGCAGATAGGCCGGGAGAAATAATCCCTAACTACGGGCTGAGGGACACGGAACAGGCATTGGGTCGGGAGTTGGTAATCTCTGGCTACGGGCGCAGAGACCACGGTGCTGGCATAGGGTCGGGAGTTATATTTATTTAGTGATCTTACTGGCAGCACACTGATGCGTAAAATAAGTTAACACACAAATTAAACCCTTTTTTTATCAATTGTAGTAAAGTATGTAAGTAGGGATCGTTCTAGGCCGGGGATTAGGAGGGATTGCTAAATCACTTGGAAACTGACTTGAAAACGTTAAAACAAAGTTTAAAACACTAACTAGACTCAAAGAATGCAAAACTATACTTTAAAACACTAAAACAAACCAAAAGACTCAAAACAGCCCCTAAACAATCAAAACTACCTTAAAAACACAATCTGGGCAATTTTGGGACTCTCACAAACTTGGACAAATTTTGGTTTTCTAATTAACTAAAACACTTAAAAACATAATCTAAGACAAGTTCTAATTAATATGACTCAAAGAAATAAGATGGGGTTGATTTTCGACGAAAATAATTAAATTAAGACAAGAACAAAGTAAACAAATTCTTAGACAAATTTAAGTGAATCAAAACAGATTGTAAAATGAATTTGAATGAAACTTATGGATGGAAGGCTAGCTAGGAGGTTCTTCTCCACACATGTCACACTTGCATACAAAACGATTTCCAGTTGCTTTTCGATAAACTATGAATACTCAACGCCCCAAATTAACCGTGAATTGCACTAATTAACCCTCAGTTTTTCCACAAGTTATTAGGTTGGATGATCGCATACGACAACCCAAAACATTCCCTACAAGTTCCCTACATGAATTGCATAATAGAGATACAAGCAAGAATCATTAAGTTCTATGAAAAACATAAGCATTGACGAGGCACTCGTTACTATGATTTGCATGAAACTTATGCCAAGAATTTACTTAACGTGATTGTGACTAGCAACCTTCACTACTTGTGAATATAAGTTCATAACGATTAGGTGAAACTCCCTTATATTCTAGCGTCAAATTCATGCATGAAAATTAAGCGTGCACTCTCAACCAACATACACAAATCAGTTTTTATACGAACGGATAAGTAAATTGAATTCACAACTTATGAATCACAACTGGATGTAATCAAATCATATTGCAAGCATGAACATAGTTTCGAATCACCCTCTAACTAAGAGGGGTTTAGTTCCTCATACTTACAAAGCAAAGATGCATAAATTTAGACATTAAAAACAAAGGAAAGAAAACACCTAAAATGCTCCAACTTGGTAGCAAGTGCATCCAAGATTCCTCCTTTCCCTATGCTTGCGGCAGATTGGGTTATGGACAGATTTTGGGTAGTTTTATGATGTAGAATGGATGGGGAATGGTATGGAAGGGTTTAGGGTGAGTGTGGAGGAGTGTTTTATGGTTGGAGGGTGGTGGAGAACTAGGCAAAGAGGGTGGAAGAAGGTGGAGTGGCTGTTATGTTTTCTAGGCACTAGAATGGTGTTTTTGGGGTGTTTTGCTTCCTAGGGTGTGTATGGACGAATTTTTGTGATAAAATGATGAATATGGGGGATTGTCCTTTGGCCAAGGGGTGTAAACATGTATTTATAGGCCCCAAAAACCTTAGAAAATCAGGTTAGGTAAAGGATGAAATGCATGGCAATTTGTGTGTGTGGTGTGCAATGGTCCAAGGGTGAAAATGAAGTAATGATGCAAATGCAAAGTGTGAAGGGTAAAATGGAGTGGTGTTGTAGCTAGGGAGCATGAATGATTGTGTACATTGCATAGAGATGGAAAGGGAGGTGAAATGTGTCAACAAATGGGTCAAAGGTGCAACAACATGTGTTGCACATGGTATTGGATTCCAAATGTGAATGATGGAGCATCAATTGGTGCATGTAATGGATGTAAATGTTGTCTAAAATCTAATGAGTGAAGGGAACAAGAGGTATCAAGCAATTGAGTGTAATAATTAAATGAATTGAAGCATGAAATTAGAAATTATGTAGGGGACAAGAGTGATCAAGCATGGCATGGAATCCAAAAGGAATTCTATGTGGTTTGCATGGCAAGGAATGCAAGTTGGGGTGACAGATTTTTGGGCTGTTTTCTTCATCTTTTGGACCATAATTCTTCATATTCTTGGCCTCTTTAGTTCTCAAATTCGTCCATCCACTTGGCCCATGCATTTGCTATCCATTCCAAGCCCGAAACATGCTCCAAAATGCATCTTCTTGCCTACTTTGTCCATAAAATCTGAAAACACGCAAAAATGACTTTAAACATTAAAATAACTAAGGAAACACGACATAAATGCACAAGAACAAGCCAACTAAGTCGCATAAATATGCTCCTATCAACTATAAAATGGTAGAATTACATTGGTGCTATTGATGGAACACATATCAGTGCATGGGCTCCTTCATCAAAACAAATTTCATACCGAGGTAGAAAAGTTAGTGTGACACAAAATATTATGTTGGCATGTTCATTTGACATGATGTTCACATATGTCTACACCGGATGGGAAGGAACGGCTAATGACTCGAGAGTGTTGATGGATGCAATAACAAGAGAAGAGAATAGGTTTCCAATGCCTAAAGAAGGTACGAAGTCATAGAAACATATCAAATTACTTGTAATTTTTTTCTTTTTGTATTTGGCTCAAGTGAAATACTTATATGCATTGTTCTTGGAATAGGAAAATATTATGTTGTTGATTCCGGCTATGCCAACATGAGTGGGTTTCTTGCACCATATCGCAAAGTGCGTTATCACTTGTGTGATTTTAGAGGAAGAGGTAAACGTCCAAGAGGAGCAACGGAATTGTTCAACTTTAGGCACTCATCACTACGTAATGTTGTTGAACGATGCATTGGAGTGCTTAAGAATCGTTTCCCTATTCTAAAGTTGATGCCAAATTATCCAATTAGGAAGCAAAGACGCATTCCGTTGCATGTTGTGCCGTGCACAATTTCATTAGAATGCAATCAAGGAATGATACTTTGTTTCAACAATTTGAAGACAATGATGTTGATGTGATAGATGAAGAAAGCTCGGGGGCTAATCAAGAAGGGGAAAACATGCATTTGAATGACGACAATGTTATGAATGATGTTAGAGACTACATAGCCGGATCAATGTGGCTTGATTACGTCAATAACAATTAGTCTCAAAGTTTATTGGTTTTCTAGAATGTTTTAATGTAATATTTATTATCTAAGACTTGAAGTTTAATTTGATTATCGAACATATATGTGTTGTATTAGCACATAGATATCAAAATAGTATGTTTAAGGTTTAATTTCATATGTTTTGTATATCTTCAAACAAATACATAATTGGAAAAAAGAAAAAAAAAGCTGTTTTCAAGAGTTAAACCAAACAAGTTTTCAAATTTTTAGATTCAAAAACAGTTTTTAAGTTCAATGCCAAACAAGTTTTTGAAACCTAAAAAAAACTATTTCTAAGAGATGATTCTGAAAATTAGTTTTAAGAACAATTCAAGTTTTTTAGTAGAATACCAAACAGGCCCTTAAAGATAGTTTAATTAAATTAAACAATAAATTTAAAGTATAAACTTAAAACTAATAAATTATTGTAGAAGATATGTTTAGCCCTTTCGGTTTGAGATAATATATGAATATGGCCTGACTTTGCAAAGTTATAATTCTGAATGAGGCTATATTTAGCCATTTCGATTGGAGATGACCTTACTTACCATGCCATCTTCTACGCTTTTACTTTAATTTAAAATGAGAAGGGTTCTTTCTACACATGACTTGCTATCTCATGTTTTGTTAACTTGATTTTGTCGAAAGTGATTTTGGTTATCTAAAAGTGTTTATTCACCATTTCAATGACAATGCTAAAAGGCTATAAATGCGCTGCTCAAGACACAATGAAGCAATATTATCAAAATTTGACGGTTGTGCTTCTCTTGTTAGAACAGTAAAATTTACATAACCAGAAATCAATTGGTAAATGTTTACAAAACGCAAAAACAAAATTAGAGGCGTTACTAAACAACAATGCAATCCTTTCGTGTTACATTTGAAATTAAACTAAATAACTTGTTTCTTAATTGGATCACCACATTAATATATTACTCGAATAGTAAGAGGTTGAAACAAAAGAAACCCATCTTAAACACAATTAATAGAACAAATTAAAATAAACATTACTGTTCTTTTTGGGCAAAAAAAAAAAAAACAGCAACAAAACAAACAAAACATAAAGAGTAATTCCAGGGAAACTAGATGTGTAAATTAAATTTTGGTAACTAAACGACATAGAAGTTAAGGATTAGATTATTACTTATGTGTTGATTACCGTGCTTATTTTTTATTGGTGACTTATAGTTTACAAATTTAATTTCAAATTTTAGTTTCCCTAACATTACCCAAATTTAAAAGAACATGTTGTAAATTCAAAGTAGATTGAGTACAATTTATTCTTTAATTAATGATTTTTTCCTATTAAATTTTGTGTTACTTGAAAAACAAGTTCCGCTCTTCTCATGATTTACTATAAATAAAGACACTGACTCATAAGAAATATTATCCTACAATTTCCCAACGTCTTCTTCTCTCCTATCTCTCTTGCCGCACCCTCGCATTTGGAAAAAAAAGCTATATCAAATTGGGAATAAAAAAATTTGAACCGAACTCCGGTCCGATTTAGAAAGGCCAAGTATTTGAACTATTTTATTTGGACACCTCTTCGTTATTTACAAACGTTTCTTCCCCCTGAAAAAGTAAAACGCTCGTGTTCCCCTTCTTCGCTCCAATCCACTGTCCAGACGGACCAGACCGATTCCTCACTGCGCCCCAAATTCAATGTCTGCCGCCTCTTCGCTGCAATCGAGAGCTGCCGGCGGCACCAAACCGGATATTGACGCCGCAAACGAAGCCTTGAACCCGATGGACGAGGACCTTAAGGTCTCTAGCAGCGTTGGCGCGCTTAAAGTCACTAGGCAGGTGCCATCTCGTCAAGCCATGGCGAAAATGCTGCAAGAGCGGTTGTTTTACATCCCGTCCTTCAAAATCTACGACGGCGCTGCGGAAACCGCTGGGCTTTTCGACTACGGGCCTCCCGGCGTCAAGTTGAAGAACAACGTTCTTGCATTTTGGCGTCAGGTGAAGTTTAAGGAAACTTGATTCAAATTTTTAAGCCAATAGTATAAATAGTTCAGTTTATTAAAATAAGTTCAATTTTTTTAATTTAATTATGTAATTATCAATAATTATCTTTTAAATGACGATTTTTAATATAAAAATTAAATTTTTTCCTAATTATTTCTTTGATTTTTTATTTATTTTTTGTTATTTCTTGTTCTTCCTCATGCTTTAAACTCCATTTATAGATCTTAATTTTAATTTTTATAATCAACCTATATCACCGGTTAATTGTATTTACTTACCTATAAAGCAGATTCTTTATTATAATCAACCTATAGCAGATGAATGTGTTTTGCTTATAGATATATTATGTTTTTTTATTCTACCTTTTAGTTAGATTTCATATATCGCTTATAGGTATAAAATATTTGTTACTTGAGTTAAGGTATAATGTTTTGCGATAGATTTATGTTAGTATATTAGTTTTTTTGGTATAAGATATTAATTAGATTTTTAATGCATGATTTTAATTGATTTCTAATATTTTTAGAAAATATAAAACAAGTAAAAAATAAAAATAAAAACATGTAATTAAATAACTGAACTCACTCCTAAAAACAATCTATGTTTTTGGACCTGGATCTAAATGCCCTTTAATTTAATACTGTATCAACTTCGTTTTTTATCAGGTTAACTTAAAGACTTGTTCTATTTCTTTTGCAGCATTTTGTTCTTGGGGAGAACATGTTAGAAGTCGAGTGCCCGTCTGTCACGCCCGAGATCGTTCTGAAAGCGTCGGGGCACGTAGACAGATTCACTGACCTTATGGTTAAGGACGAGAAGAACGGGAACTGCTACCGCGTAGACCACTTGCTGAAGGATTTCTGCACCGAGAAGCTTCAGAAGGATCTCAACATCGCCGAAGAGAAGGCGAAGGAACTCAAACATGTACTCGCTCTGTTAGATGACCTCTCAGCTGAAGAACTAGGTGCAAAGATCAAAGAGTATGGGATTACAGCCCCTGACACGAGCAATCCTCTGTCTGATCCCTATCCATTTAACTTAATGTTCCAAACGTCAATTGGTCCGTCTGGCTCGAGCACTGCGTAAGCATTCAAACACATTGTCGAATATTTGTTTTTTGTGTATTTTGTTTCAAAGAATTTGAGAGTTGTGATTCTTCGTGTTTCATTACTCAGGTACATGAGACCGGAAACTGCACAAGGCATATTTGTGAACTTCAACTATTTGTACTACTACAATGGCAACAAGCTACCTTTTGCTGCGGCTCAAATCGGCCAAGCCTTTCGAAATGAGGTAATGAGTCTTTCTCTTTGAATGCTTTTGTTTTGTGGTTCTTGTGCAAGTAATTGATTTCGATCATGTTTATCTATGCGTGCAGATTGCTCCTCGCCAAGGGCTTTTAAGAGTCCGTGAGTTCACACTCGCGGAGATTGAACACTTTGTAGATCCTGAAGACAAAACTCACCCGAAGTTTAATGAGGTCGCGGAGTTGGAGTTCCAAATGTTTCCGAGGGAAGAACAGGTATCTGGCCAGTCTGCAAGGATAATCCGCTTGGGTGAAGCAGTTGCAAAGGTTGGTTTTTATCGATTTCTCTTCGGCCTTCCTTTTTGTCCTTTTTTTTTTTCTCTTCTGTTTTTCTGACATTGCTGCATTTTTATAGGGCATAGTCGACAATCAGACTTTAGCCTATTTCATCGGCCGAGTCTACCTCTTCCTCACACGGTTGGGTATAGACGAGGAGCGTCTAAGGTTCCGCCAGCACCTGCCGAATGAAATGGCGCACTACGCTGCTGACTGCTGGGATGCTGAGATCGAGACTTCATACGGGTGGATTGAGTGCGTCGGGATAGCAGATAGATCTGCATATGATCTTCAAGCTCATTCAGTAAAAAGTAATAAAGATCTTATGGCTCATGAAAAATTTTCAGAACCAAGAGAAGTGGAGGTATGCTTTGTTCCGAATCGTTTAAACCATCACAGTTAGTAAACAACTAATTAAACATGGTTTCCTCGCTTATCTAAACACGTTAACAAGAACATTGTTCGTTGCTAACTTGTTTTGTGATTTCAGGAACTGGTTATATCTCCGGTGGTTAAAGAGACCGGCCTTGCTTTCAAGGCGGACGGAAAGAATGTAGTTGAAGCACTGAAGGTGAGTACTCTTTCTAGTCCACCCCATCGTTTTGTGATTAATACTGAATATAGTTTTGGTATTTAATTTCTGCAATCTTGTGTGTTTCAGGCCATGAATGAAAAAGAAGCTTTGGAGATGAAAGCGGATTTAGAGGCGAAGGGCGAGGTGGAGTTTTATGTCTGCACACTAGGGAAAAATGTATCAATAAAGCAGAATATGGTGACGATTTCATACAAGAAAAGGAAAGAACACCAGAGAAGATTCACACCCTCAGTGATCGAACCTTCGTTTGGTATCGGGCGGATCATCTACTGCCTCTTCGAGCATTCATACTACACCAGACAAAGTCAAGCTGGGGATGAACAGTCGAACAACTTGAACGTGCTCCGTTTCCCTCCTCTCATGGCGCCCTTTAAGTGCACGGTTTTCCCGCTGGTTCAGAACAAGGAGTATGAGGAGGTTGCTAAAGGCATTTCCAAGTCACTGACCGCAGCTGGCATATCACATAAAATCGACATTACAGGCACCTCTATCGGGAAAAAGTATGCACGGACTGACGAGCTTGGTGCGCCCTTCGCGATCACGGTGGATTCTACAACGTCAGTGACAATTCGGGAGAGAGACAGCAAGGATCAGGTTCGTGTAAATTTGAAAGAGGTAGTGGTCGTTGTGAAGGAGCTAACTGCGGGGCTTAAGACTTGGGCAGACGTGTCGCGTGCTCACAGAGTCAGAAGGCAATCTAGGCTTAGAAATTTACTTAACAAATTGTGTTTTCCCTGCTGAATTTACATAGAAATCTAATTTTGTGGTATTTTGGCTCTAGAGGAAAAAAAAAAATGAAGTCGTTCGACTAATTTTCGTAGATGATGATTGTTATTATCTTCCTTTCGTTGTGGAAAGATAAGCGAAATGAGTTTGTTGTTTCTCTGTGAAGGAAATATGAATCCCAAATATTTGCTGACAAAGTTAAAAAAAAAACCAAATTCTAGACTAAAAGAACAACAAAAATAAAACCCATAAAACTCTAAATTGAATTGGCGGAACATAAAATCCAATACAAATCGAGTTCATTAGAAATAACTCTGAATAGTCGATCTAGACTTATAAACGGGTCGGATTTATTGGGTTTGGATCGGGTTTGACTATTCCAGCAGACCCATTAATTTAATGGATCATTCGACCTCAACTAGTTAAGCTAACGGGTCATCCAAACTCAACTAGTTAATTCAATAAGTCATCCATTTCACCCGTTAATATTTTTTTATTTTTTTATTTTTTATTTTTTTTATTTTTTATGTTTTCACATTTCATCCAAACCAAGAAAAGATTGGTGCTTTCAGTTGTTTTCTTCTCCTACCTCAAAACCCAAGTCTCCCTTGCAGCCGACTCCATCACCGCCAACCAATCTCTTCAATGCGATTCAAAACCCGAGTCTTTACCCTGTCCCGGTACGCTTTACTTAGTCCTCCAATTCTTATATCATTATAATATACATATATATATTATATTTTTATGCATTTCAGTTCTTTGCTTGTAACACTGAGATTTGTACTCTCTCTACCACAACAGCAAAAGTCTCTGCATTTCAGAGACACCCAAAAAATTTTACAGTGCAGAGAGAGAGAGAGAGAGGGATATGGGTTTTGAGGTTGAGGTTCCAGTGGAGTTCGAGGTTGAGGACTTGAGGTTCCAGGCAGAGTTCCAGTGCTATTTAAAGTTCTTGTTTTTGTTTTTTGAGTAAACTGTCGGTTTACCCCCTGAACTTTCACCTCATTTTCGATTTCCCCCTTGAACTTTTCCATTGGAAAATTAAGGACTCAAACTAATTTTTTTAGCCAATTTACCCCCTACCGTTAGTTTTTCATATATTCCATCCATATTTCCGTTAAGTGAGACCATGTGCACAACATGTGAGGGTAGTTAAGTTATTTCACTCTTAAAAATGATTAAAAAACTGAAAATAATAAAAAAGCAAAACTTTCCCTCTATTTTTTCCCGCTAATTCCTATCCTAGATTTTATTTTTCCCTCTCATTCCTATGCATGAGAAATGACATATGGTGTTATTATCTACCATTTTTATTTTCTCTAACAAATTAATAATTAGACAAATGCTAATGGTGCTATTGTCTCCAAAGCAGTGCATTAATATAAGAAACCCTAGTCTTTTTTATGGACATGTTTCTTATATTAATGCACTGCTTTGGAGACAATAACACCATGAGCATTTGTCAAATTATTAATTTGTTAGAGAAAATAAAAATGGTAGTACATGCTTCAAAAAAAAGATTAACTTAGCTACTTAGGAAGACAATAACACCATATGTTATTTCTCATGCATAGGAATGAGAGGGAAAATTAAAATTGAGGATAGGAATTAGCGGCAAAAAATAGAGGGAAAATTATTATTATTATTTATTTTCAGTTTTAATCATTTTTAAATTGAAATGACTTAACTATCCTCACATGTTATGCACATGGTCTCACTTAACGGAAATATGGATGGAATATATGAAAAACTAACGGTAGGGGGCAAATTGGCTAAAAAAATTAGTTTGAGTCCTTAATTTTCCAATAGAAAAGTTCAGGGGGGAAATCGAAAGTTAGGTGAAAGTTCAGGGGGTAAACCGACAGTTTACCCTTGTTTTTTTGGTAGTCTTAGGTTTACGGAATTCGACAGAGAGTGAGGGTTTTCTAGTAGGAATATTGAAATCACACAAAAGCCCTCAAAAACGGGTGTTAACGGGTTCATCCAAAATAACCCGTTAACCACCCGATCTGTTTAGCACTCATCCAAATACTAATTTTAACGAATCGGGTTAACGGGTCAGGTTGAAAATGTCAGGTCAAAGTCGATCAACAGATAATCTCTCTGATAAATTGGTGAGCACAATGCAAAACAGAAATAGAATGAAATTTGAAGTTTGCCTTGAAGTCATGAAGTAAGATTCTACTGCAGATGACCACTAAAAGGCAGGTTGCATATCCATGTAGACAAAGTATCTAATTCGTTCAAAACCATGAGGATTCTCTCCGGATCCTTAAATCGTTTATGTTCATTATACATTATACAGTAAGAAATTATTTTAAATACTTTTATTTAAAATTAAATATGAATAGTATCTGATAAAAACCGATCGCATGATGTACGATGAACATACATAATTTGAGGAGGATCTTAAGAAAGAGGATCCTCATTCCATTCAAAAGCCATCAAATATGCTGATGTAAATTAAAGAATGCATTTTTGAAAAAAAAAATATTTGGTAAAATGGTGAACCAAAACCCGAAAAAAGAAGAACGGCTTCTTGGCGTCGTTTATCCTACCGCTACCAATCTAATCTTGCCGGTGGGAACTCCCTCTTCTCTTCCTCACCATCAATCCAGCCTCTTCCTCCCACTCTTTCTCTAAAATTGATTCCGTGGAATGGGAGCAGATTCCATTATGTGGGTCTGCAACTCAAGCACAGCAACCTAAAAAATTCCAATCCTTAATTTATTTTTTGTAATCTTAATATTTTTTTTTATTGTTAAATATTAACGCATAGTGAAGATTTATATTGAAATTTATAATAGAGATTTGTAATCAAATTCATTGAAATCTAGGGGCAAATTGAGTTTTAGGGTGACGACTTTTGAGTTTTAGTTTTAGGGGCAAATTGAGATTTAAATGAAGTTCTAAGGGTGAAAAAGTGGAATCAAAATCAACTTTCACAGGGTGTAGCTAAAATTAAGCCTATGATCTCACATTTTTACTCAACCACTTTAGCAATTTTATCGGCTATTGGACAGAAAAACGGAAATATAATAAATGGAAATATAATAAAGGGAACGGATTTTAATTTTAGATAATAAAGTAATGACTTTTGAATTATATGAGGCAAAGTGAAATCAAAGCGAATTTAGGGGTGTAACTAAAAATAACAGCACTCTTAATCACAACCGTCTATTTCAAGGTTCACCGCTGATTCTGGACTGGCGGTGCAGCTGATATTTACCCCCATAACCCTATATGAATTTCCCTGCCCTCTCACCACACGACTCATATAATTAGTCCTCCGACCCACCGAGGGCGAGAAGCAAACAGCAAATATTTTCCCGGAAAATTTCCTCTTGTGTTTCTCGCGTCGCTCTCTGATTGTTTTTATACCAAAGAAATTGAAGTTTTTCGAAGCTGCCGCTCAATATATTCGACGAGGTACGTGATTTTTTAGGGTTTTTCGAAGTGGGAATTATATGCTTGATTTTACCTCGTTTTCTAATTTTGGGTATTGAAATTTTTTCTTAGTTTGAATATGCTTGGTTGTTGAACGTTTCGGATGTATTTTGTTAATTCAAATTTTGATACGGGGTTTAATTTTGTAAGAAATTTGGGTTCTGAGAAGTGAGAAACTGTTGGTAAAGTAAGAACAGAAATTGAATTTTTGGATTTTGGATTATGGATTATATTTTATTTTGTATAGATTCTGTGGCATTTAGACATTCACTAAATTAGATTATCTTAACTTCAGAAGACTAAACAATTATTTTTTGATTTGATGTAGAGTGAACCGTGGGATGATCTGAGGTTGTTTTGCAATTGATTGTATTAGCTTTTTTTTTCTCTTTCTTTTTCGGTTATTATTTGGTGCAATTTTGCGAAACAATAGAGTTTGCAATGTCGATGTTTTGATGGAATGGTTTGATACGTTGTAGATAAGTATTAGTCATGGCATCAGTGGAGCCAGCCGGTCCACGATATGCGCCAGATGATCCTACACTTCCAAATCCGTGGAAGGGTTTGATTGATGGTAGCACGGGTTTGTTATACTATTGGAATCCTGAAACTAACGTTACCCAGTATGAAAAACCGGCTTCTTTGCCTCCGCCCTTGCCAGCAGGCCCGCCTCCTGCTACTACCACACCAAAGCTGGCTGCAATTCCTGTTGCTCATTCAATGCAACCGAACGGAGTGATGCCTCAGGATGGGCAGCAGATAACACAAGCTCCACAACAGCAGGGGTCGCAACTAAACCAGTATTCTCAACCTCATGGACATATAATGGCACAACAGCTGAATCCGACATCATATGCTCAACAGCAGGGATCACAAATGGCTCAACCTGGACATCAACAGAGTTCACAAGTGGGACAGGCCATGCAACATCATGGGCATATGATGCAGCATCTGGGTCAGCAAATGCCTCAGCAACTGGGGCAACACACACCACAGGGTCACGGGTCACAAATGCATCAGTTTGCACATCAGCAGGTGCATTATATCCCTTATCAGCAAAGCATTCCTCCGCAAGGGCAGCAAAGTTCACAACAGCAATCTATGCATAGTGCACAAGGGCAACCACTGTCAAATCAACAAGAATATAAACCTGCATTCTCTCAGAGGGAGGAAGATGATTCAACAAAGAAATCAAATTGGTGTTTCTCCATCTCGATTTCAACCTGCGGGTGCCTCATCTGTGCAGAATCTTCCTACTGGGACCAATCCAGTACAAATGCCACAGAGGTCTGTTCATCAAGGGCCACCCCAACAATTTGGCGGCCCTATAGGAAACATGCAACACCCTTCCTCTTTTGGTCACCTGCAGCAACCTGGGGCTGATTTGCCTCACCATCAACATGGTTCTAGGTTCCAAAATCAAATGGACCCGGCATGATACATGGTCAGCAGTCAAATGTGCCTCCTGTAGGATTAAGAATGGGTCATGAAGATAATTTCCATGGTAGAGGTGGAAATGACTATTACTTCAATAGTAACAATGAAGGGCCACCAGGTCCTCAGCAACCCAAGCTTGCATCTATTCCGATTGCAAGAAGTCAGCAGGT